GAGAGAGAGAGAGAAGAATCACCTGGGGTTGACTGATCGATGCGTCGCGTGGACTAGGTCAAGTGACTAATTAAGGCAAGAGCAAATTAAAGTCATCGTAAATGTAGAAAAGTTCCCGGATAATTTTCGATCCTAATCTTGTCGTCTAATCGTCCAACAAAATATCGATCCTCTCGAAAAAAGATCTGTTGAATAAAATTGTAAAAAAGAAAGAAAAAAATCGATCGGGGATAGCAAATTCGACATATATTAACAAAAACGGTGTCAACGAAGGCGCGGAAAGGTCGCGCTTGTTTGCTGAGAGGGAGGAGTGTGCGAGGGGGGGGGGGTTACAGCAGGTGCAGCGAGAACGCAGCTTCTGTCATCGATCTCGCCGCGGCTGCAGCGAGCATGGCGCGGCTCGCCGCACATGCCGGACCGCGTCTACATGCAGATACATGGGGCGATCTACGATGACCGGATTATGACGATACGCGCGATCGCCGATCGTGATGCACATTGATTTGCCAGTGAATTTTTCCGACGACGATGATGTCAACGACGAGGACGACGACAACGATGACGATGACGAAGAGGAGGTCGACGTCGGCTGAACCGCAAATGGATTTTTCCGACGAAATGCGGGAGGCTGATCAAACGCCTCCCGACGCATTCTCCAACAAACATTGCATTTTCCTCTCGGTATAAACGTCGGACGACAGAGAGGTACAAAAGGGGTGCGAAAGGTTCGCGAGCGTTTTCACGCTCGCATTCTCGCGACTCCGAGGCGAAGGGGAGAGCGAGAACGCCGGTGCACTGCGCGGTCGCGGTGCGTCGTCTGCGGGCGCGGGGGCGGTGTTTACATTCGCGGCAAAAGCCGCGCAATGTGGACCCGCGAAATTGAGATATCGATCGGGCTCCCTCGCGAAGATCACGCGTCTCCTCTATTTCTTTCGCGCGCGCTCGGTGTTACGAAGACGTGGGAAAACCTGTAAAAGCGCTAAACAATTTGTCACGAAAGTGATGAAAATTCACGCATGCCGCCAGTGCCCAAGATTACAGTTTGCTACGATGCGCTTTTGAAATTGCGAGAGCGCGTTTCAGCGGGTTTTTAAATATGCAAACTAGATGGAAGAAATTCACATATGTGTTAATATATTGTGATCGATTGAGTGATTAGCTCGGTATTAAGAATTTGACAATTCGCGCGTTAGCATGAGGAACATTAGTAGCAATTTTCTAAAACGTCGAGGGAAGACGAGCGATTTGAGAGACGGAGCGCATAACTCGCGCTTATTGATTGACGAATCAAAAAAGTTTAGTCTACGTTGCGTAACCGAGGTAAATCTTTGCGTCTCGCGCAATGCGTACGCTCAACAGAAGAGACGTAATCTAAGCGTATCGTAAGTAGAGGAGAGATCTAGATCGATACGTGACGCACACGAACGCAGCTTCGCGCAAAATCGCAGAGATGGACTGCTGCAATTACATCGAGGCTTATGCGGCAGGTGGTCATTTTTATCAGCAGCAACAGCAGTACTTTTGTTACGACAATGGTAGCGCGGCGTACACCGGTTACGACGCCGCGCCGATCTCTAATGCGATTGACATTAATGCTCGATACAATGGGGCGATACCACCAACGTATCCGACAGGTAGAGCATCGCACACAAAATACATATTTGCAGCTCGAATAGTAGACTGCACAGTTTTGTGACTTTCCATGCATGCGTGCACGCAAGATCTTTTTGTTTGTTTTTATTTTCATTATATGCTCAATTCAAAGAAACTGTTTTTAATTAATAAAAAGTTTCGGCTTTATTAATAAAACTTTTGTATAGTTATATATATATATATATATTTTAGGCAATTAGATAAGTTGAAGCATTTTATCATGCAAAGAGATTTTTCATGAGATTTCCATATCACGAACGAAACTTAGCTTAGGAAGATAATTTTAATTATAATTAAAAAAAATTACGTGATCTTAATTAACAAATTCTAAATAAGCCTCTGACATGTTTGTTTCCCAGGCTACTTCTGTAAATTTCTGAATTTATATATTTGTTTATATATTAATACATACATTTTGTAAATATTCAGAGATATTATTATGATGATTATAATATGACATTTTCTCTTTCTGTTAATTAATAACGATTGCGTACACATTGCCGTAGATTACGTGTACAATCCGAAAGAGGCAAGACTAAGGAAAGCAATGCGCGAGCAAACTCGCGAGCTGTCACGGCGATCAATCCTGCAAAGTGCGATTGCGTCTGCAAACGCGCGCACAGCTGCGATTGGCGGCGCCAATTCCGTTGTTTCGATGGCCGGTGGCTTCCTGAACCAGCATCACCGCTTCGATTGCACGTCGATGCCTATGGGTCCGAACGTGAGTTCCCATCAGGCGACCGAGTCTTGGTTCCAGGCTACGCATCGCCTGAAACCTGCACACTCGCCGCGAATCGGCGACTGGTATGGAAATGTGTGCGGCGATCCGATCGAGAAGTTGCAAGCGATGGGTACGATGCATCAACAGCAGCAACAGCAGCAGCAGCAGCAGCAACAACAACAACAACAACAACAACAACGTGACCTCAATAAACTCAAGGACCAAAGAAAGACAGCGGAATGCACCGCGGCAGCATTCCCCGCGAATGGCTACTCGCCGGATATAGCGGCCGCGGAAAGGGAAATTCGCCGACAGGAATCCGCAGCGGAATACGCCGATTTTGTCGACGGCCAAAAATGGCATCCTTATCAAGTAATATAGATCGCAATGATGCAGTTACGGGAAAACGAGATGGTGACATGAAAAGAGAAATCAACTTTTGACTCGATAATCTCGTTTAAATTTGTAAATGTAAATTCTACCGATCTCGTTTTTTTTATAGATAAATTAAATGTTTTTTTAATTTAATTAAATATAAAATGTATTTTTTTGTAATTTATATAATAAAATATATAAATGGATCGTCTTTTCTTACTGAGTTATACTGAATGCTTGCAAAAATTACTTGATATTTCTGATTGCAGAGCAACGCGAGTGCTCATCCACTTCAGAGAATGCCTCATCTGTCACCGCAAATGGGTAGTATTCTTCATCCAAATGTTCAGAATACGAATGCACATGGACACGGTGCATGGAGTCAATTTTGTCATAGTATGCTACCACGTAAGTTCTATGTACATTTTACTGTAGAGATTCCACTACGGTGATTTTGGTAATATATCATTAAATATGTTAATCATGTTTTTATAAAATTATATATATATATATATATATATATGTCTATTAAAAGAAAGAAAAGAGGAAAAGGGATTTACTTTTTAGTAAAATATTTCATATAATATTTGAACATGTGTTATATATTTCAGATATCCCAAGTGTGGCTCGCAACGCGACAATTCGGGGCCCGCGACATGCAGTTTTTTTACGGGATCGCACGCCAACTAGACATTGCGCATTCTCCGAGAACGCGTCGCAAATGAGTTATGAGCCGAATAAATTGAACATTGATAGCATTCGTGCATCTTATCCGCCATCGGAGCATCAGGTATTAAAAACGACGAATGACTATACATTATTGCCTAATGAATCGCTAAATAGAAATTTTATACATGACGAATAGATTATAAATTGTAATAATAATAGTGGAAAATGATATAAATTTGTTACGTCCATCTGACATTTGCCGAGAATCAGTAAGGAATTATCTATGCAGATGCCAAGGTTATTGGGATCAGCAGTGGATTCCGTCATAGATTCAACGACGGCGATAAATCGACGCAAGGAAGATGGAACCAGGTGGGAGCCAAACAATACTGGAATGTCTCTGGACGAACTTGTGCCAACCTCCACGGTAAAATATGTCACATTTATATATTTTCATATAAATGAAAATATATAAATACTCGTATCACTATATATCAGATAAATTATTCCATCTTACCACTTATTTTAAATCTTAAAGATATATCAATTTTAGCTGCAGGAAGGCACGGTTTCTTGCGAGAAGGAACGCGATTTCCGGCATTCGAACGAGCGATTCGAGCCAAAGAAGAAATCCGTCTCAAAGCCGCTCCCAGGTTTTCATCAGGCGTTTGGCTCCACGGAAATCGGCAGGTTTTCCAGGTCGGAGTTCTTCGTAAACATGGTGGGTGAAAACGGCAATGGCGGCGGCGGCGGCGGCGGCGGCGGCGGCGGCGGCGGCGTTACGACCGACGACGGCGAAGGCGGCGATGGCGGCGATGATGGCGAAGTAAGTAGGGAACATCCCCTCGCGGAAACGATGGAGAACGCCGCCACGGCGGCGGCTGCGGCCGCGGCCGCCGCGACGGCCGCGACCGCAGCTACAGCGGCGACCGCTGCCGCAGCAGCGGCCGCGGCAGCGGCTGTCGCGGTCACCACGACCGGTGCCAGCAGGATTTTCGACTCCGAGGATAATCCGACGATATTCGGCGTCCCGTCATCGATCGGCAGCGCGTACTGCGGACAACCGGCGGCACCGCGCTGGCACAGTCCGCATGTAGGTGCTATAGGTAGCGAAATTTAAACGAGATCGGTCGCGGTATCGTGTACCGTCTTTACGACATTTGTCGATACTTTTTTCTATCGAGAAATATCAAAAGACAACGCGGGGAACAAAAAATTCATAGAATTTTATATTTTTAGAATAATTGGAGGATGAAGAGTCACATCAAATTTATTAACTTTAAACGACTCATAAACGGTCATTTTTTTGAGTAATTGAGGTACTAACAATTATCGTTGATACGGTACAGAATACCGCTGCTGGTATACATTTCAATAGGACATTGTCCTTGTCTCTTTTAGGCTAAAGCGATTCCCGTAGCTTTTCGGCGCGTGGCAGTGTGACAAAATTGAATGGCGGTATATCGTTCTTCAAGTTACGAGTGTAATGTTTGTAGTTTTGATGTGTAGCGGAATTTGATAATGAATTTGGAAAGAACTGTCCATATTTTGATTGCTGGTAAACTTAGGAGACTTATTCAGAAATTGGAGCCATTGTAATTTTGACGTATCTGAATTTAACCGCCGAAATAATTTCTATGTTTATTCGTGACAATAGCATTTGTTGCGACATAAGACACCAATCTTTGATACTTTTAACGTTAGAAATGGAAACTCAAAATCACGTCGGTTTTCAATCTCTGGATGTGATCTCCATGACGAAACCTTTGTCGAAAACCTATGGCGCTGCTTGGAAAGGAAAAAACGGGCATGACACGCGTGTCATGCGTAACGAATGCAAGTGCATCGATTACGGCGAAAGCTGTCGGGGATCGATATTGGCGTACGAAATGTCCCGACAAACTGCGAACGTTCGTCGAGATTGTGCCTTCCGGGGGATTGGGGACGCGTTGGAGAGTTCTCGTCGAGTTCTCTTTCGCCTTAGCGAAAATCAAAGCAGCACGATATACCGCGTCTCGTATGCCAAAAGGAAGATATAATCAAAAGAAATCACGCCGAGACGATCTGTATTCGATCGGCACCTTCCATCACTGTTATTAGATGCGTTATACACGTCGACGAGCGATTATATAATACATATAAATATATATATATGTGTATATATATATATATATATATATATATATATATACATATATATACACATACTCGTGTGTAATAAGAAGGAATGAATACGCGCAACAAAGAGAATAAGTTATTTAGTTTAGATTCCTTAGGTCGTATTGAACGTATTGCCGCGCGGAGAAACGATCAAATAAAAGTGAAGTGCGCCTGCGAGCGTAGGAAGCCGAGAAGCCGACAAATAAATACTTTCCCGCTTCTGGAAAATAATTGCGAAAGGGGATGCACGGTGGTTCGTGTTAAGAATCTGCATTTGAAGTATTTGGACATTAGTAATTTTCCTTAATTTTTTTTTCTTCTTTTGGTACACGTAATATAAGTAATTAAAATTTCTTCCTCTTTATACAATTATTGGAAAAATTTTCTGGAAACAAAGGACGTCATTCTGAGTACGTTCAAAATGCCTTTAATGATTTCTGGATCTTCAATCAATACCAATTGTTATTAATCAACGGTATTTGTTGTTAATCAATCATGCTATTGTTAATAAGAATTGTCAATTCTCTTATTTATCTATATTATATTTAAATATCATTTACATTCGGTTTTAAATTATATTTTTTTATTTATAGATTATGTTAATCAAGAATAAAAATTTGTTTCTGATAGTCTGATGAAGTTTATTTGCTAGTAGATTCTTAATACGCGCTAATATTTATAACTTGTGTCTAGACTTATATCGACCAGTTAATTCGGGATTAATTCGTGCCGGATACCCTGTACCTATTATGGGACCAAAAATTAAACGAAAAACTTTTATGTCGCGTTCACCGTCGCGCTTACGTCCTACGTGTGGTCGCGTAAAAGGAACCTCCCTCATTCTGTTCGCGCGATCGCTCGCGAGTGAAAGCAAAATGCCATCCTTCTGTTCCGAAACGTGGAATATATTTGATGAAATAGTATAACTATGTGAATGAAAGTATATCAATGGATATGTGTGCGCGCGTGTGTATGCATATATAATTGAGAAATATATTCCACCTCTTGTAACGGAATGAGCATAATCTCTCACGCCTTACAAAACATATTTAGAGTCATGAAATCAAACTGTGCGCGAATATCATAATCGAAAAAAACAACATTATATCTGTAGGACGAAAATTGGAGTATTTCCGAACTAGATATCGATAGTATACGACGTCAATAAAAAAAAAAAAAAAAACTTTACGTTGACGTTGGTGTACTGTGCATGTTGGAAGGTACAGATAAACTTTAAATGGAGAATACTATTTAATTAATCAGACAAACGTAAATGTATATTGTGTGATACAATATCGTAAGCAACGGTAGCTAAAAATGATAGAACAAACCGACCTACAACAGACCTACAATGTTTTATGCAAAATAAATACCACAAATGTCAAATTTACGATGCTGAATATTGAAGACACAACGTCCTTTTAAAATGAGAAATATATTAAGTAGATAAATTGGTATTTGCGATATAATCGTCCTGTGATACATGAGATGGACAGCATTGCAAAATATACAGCTTTACTCTCATTCGATTGGGACGATCGCGAGCAGTATGACAAAAATAAAAAAAAAATGGATGTCTATGCGACAGTAAAGAAAAAAAAACAAAATAATGTGTCTTGTTTTTCCCAGATAAGTTCTGAAGCCTATCTGACGTTTCCCTTTCTACTTCCTTTCTCACCGAAATCCCATAGTATCTTAGAAGCCAATGCTATTCACGGATTCACAGATGAGCAATTGGTATCGCACATTTTGCCCAATGAATGTTGTTGGTTTACGCGAAATGGACATGTTATAAATAGGATTCCTGACAGTTTTCTGGTAAGAATAATATTGAATTTTGATATCATTTTACTTCTAGATAATATGTGTATGTATGTCCATATATATATAATTAATATTTTTTAAACAAAATTATAATTTAATATATTCTTAATTTTGGTATTTTTGAATAATGTTAATACTAATAAAATCAATCCATCAAAAATTTTTTTAATTTAGAATAAGACTAGATTTTTTGTATAAATTTTTGCATATATAAAAATAAGTTCTCTAGCAGCTAGAGAATAAAGTTCAATAAGGCTGTTTTCTGATCTCTCTCGGATTGGTTTATATTGGAACGAATAATTCTTAAATTCCTTAAATTGCTTAGACCTCACATTAGATCCCCCCCTGTATACTTTCCTAAAACTTTTGCACCGTAACAAATATTTCTTTTTAAACATATATAAACATATACCTTTAAAATCAATTTTTACATGTATTTTAAGACATAAATTCATTGTTATTAAATTTCGATTGTTCCTGATAAGCCCTATATAATCCTTTATTAATTTATATTAATTTTCTTTGATATCAGATAGAATTGAAGATGTAACTATATATTTTTCTTTATCCAACCAATTAGAAACATCTCTAATTATATTGTGTACATGATCTGTATTATGTAGACGATAATATTAGCATATTCAAGATGTCACAGGATGCAGATTGTATGAGAGCAACATCCATCATTCATGTTTCAATTTTACATTAATAATTATATCAATAATTCTATTTAGTCAAAGAAAATTCAAATTAATAAAAAATAATAATAAATTATGAAATTAAAAAATTAAGAATAAAAAAATTAAAAAGAAGGTTCAAGAGAATTCTCTGATATGATACCATGATAATATATGCCTTACTGGCAAATTCTTCTAAAAATAAAAAAAATATTCAATTAATCAAACATACGATCATCAAACTATCTAATCCCGTTCCAGGATAAACAAAATATCTTTACTAATGTAACCTTATTGGAGGATTGTTATAGTTGATAATATAATTATTACAGACTTGCCGAGCTTTACTGGATTATTCTGCTCAGAGAGAGTGGATTCGTCAGAAAGTGGCGGTTCCGCATCCGACAGAATTCTCAATATTGCTGGACAATCGAAATATGGGCGAACGAATCTTTAACAATCCTGTACGACAAAATCATGCCGTCGGCACAAATGAAATTAATGATCATGATATTCTGCGAGAATGTAAGATTGCCAATCTAAAAGTAGAGAAGGATTCCCTCGTTGGCTCAAATAGATATGAATTTAATGAGAAAAAAAATTAAATAATTAAAAATTAATTAGTAGTTGATAACAATTAAGAGTAGCATTTGTTTAAAAATATTGTTAAAAATATTGTTAAAAAATATTTAAATATTTTATTTATCAAGTAATTAATGAGAGATGTTATGACTTATGCAAATATATAATTTTTAAAAACTTCTTTATCATTGTTCTTTGTTTTTTTTTCTTTCTTTCCTTCATTATATAAATTTTTATTATATAAAATAGTACAGCAAAAATCAATTCACAACACATTGCTGAATAAATGATTTTGAAGTTTTAAAAATTTGACATATGCTATCCTATCATTGCTTTATTTTCAATCAAAAGTTTGATTGACAAAACACTTAGGGAAGCATCATAAATTGAGAAACTTTTGTAGAAGATGATGATATTTTCGGCTAAACCTCGTCGCTTATGACGTTCAAAGTGCACAACTTCTGCTTAAAATGTTCGGCGAATAATACAGTTTATAAATAGATGAACGCCGATGAAAGAGCCGATTATGGTGCGGTTTATCAAAGCGGTCATAATGGCGGTATCCTTCAAACGACACACATGAATACCGAAGATCTCCTGACTAGTGTTTAAGAACTAGCGGCAGGTAGCGATAATCAAGAATACCCTATCATAAACGCCTCTGCAGTGTTGTGCACGTTGCGTAAAAGTCGTTCGAAGTAAAAATTTTTATGATATGCCACCGTGCAGCGAATAGAACGGACGTAAACCTAGCTTTGAAATCTCTTAATTTCTAAGTCGTATAGCAGCCAAAAGAAACGGAGCCAAAATAAATATCTTAATTGTATACATCATATCTTTCTTGCAAAACGGCAATATAATAAAATGTTTAAAAATGTTTTCAACGAAAATCATGACAAGAAAATATTAAAATCATACTCATACTTGTTCTCACAAAGTTGTTAATTTTGAATTTCAAAAAATTCTATCCTTCTTATAACTATATATATAACTTTTTCTACATATAATTTTCTTATATGTTATAAAGCCTAAAAAAGCCTTCTTCTCTTTTTACGGCTATCGTACGGACAGTCTTCTTTGAAGACAAACATACTTTTTGTTTTCGACTTTCAAAATAATTTCGCACGATTGATGTCGCACTGCGCAATTTGCGTCCCAAGGACCGATGGCATTTCAGGCAAATAATCGCGAATGCAGTCGAGCTGAAAATTGTAATTACCTTCGGCAACGTCGGACCACCTTCGTTCAATAAAGATGGCTTCGCAGATGGCTCGGCCTCCGGCGATGTCGTAGCACCGGGACGATCGCGCGAGTATGTTCTCCGCACGAAATTGCTAGCACAAATAACCGATAGGGTTACAGCCGTCTTCGCGTCCGGTGATTGCTGTCCGAAACCATGCGCGATGGCAAATAAGAGAACGGTCCTGCTCAAATATCTACTCGTAATGCGTCGTGCGGCCGGCCGAACGGCGTACTGTTGATTTTTGTCATTTGACTTCAGACAACCAACATGTGTTTCCATCCTCTCGATCGTTTCGCTTGTAATAGATGAGGAACTCCATTTTCGTAATTAACAAATATCAAAATTACTGCAAAATGTCAATTTCCCTCTTTTAACCTTCTTTTAGGGGGCAAAGATATTATATTTCTTAATGTACAATGCAAGGCTTTAAATAACTCGTTATTGATATATTTCTACCAGATTTTTATCCTAAAGATCTAGATCTAGGTTACGAGGAAGAATTATAATACAAGAAAATAGAGCGCGATAATACGCGGCGTACAATTACTTATTTATTTTTAAGCAAATTGTTCATCAATAATAATTGCAAGAAGAAAAACAGAGCTTCTAATTCTATCTTCTTGATATAAAGAGAGATATCAATGTTAACTCATATAAAACTATATAGATAGATAGAAATTAGGATAACTGACGGATAAATAATTTCTCGAGTTTTTGATGGACCAAGACCCGTTATGTCTTGCCAACGAGAGCAACACTTATCTTTCACGAGGAACAAATACTACAAAGTCGCATACTTTCCTGAGCGCAACAGACGCAAATATTAACTCATAAAGGTGACATATCGCGACTTGATTTGGTATCGCAACCGCACGAAGATCCAATCCGCGAAGAGAAACACTTCCTTGCGACCTTGATAAAACGATTTATCCCATCGTTCACGCGACGATTTAATTCTCGATCAAGACGAATTCACGACCGATCGACATTCAATCAAAGTGACGATTACGGCGACGATTCGGTTCACCACGTGCGGGTTCGCGTACGTCGTCCGCAAGGACTAGCCGAGAACCTGGCGACTGACGACGTGGGCGGACTGCCGAACGACGTGTTTGTTGTCGAACCCACCAACCATGAAGGATTTGTAAAGACGATCCGTTCGTCCATTGGTCGAGGCAAGACTTTGAAGGCGGCACCCGTCATGAAATCGTTCTCAACCAATGGACACCGCAGTGGTACCGCCATGCTGCACCCGTGAGTTCCTAATTTAGCGACTAATTAGCACCCGGCAAACGCGAACGCGACTCGGACCGGTGCCTCTCGCGGCGGTCGCGTATCCATCGAGGAACGGAGAAAGAGAGGAACGTGAGGAGCGAGAAACAGAGAGGCAGATATACCGCCGGTCAGTCTTCGGCAAGTCTTCGCTGGCTAGTGTGAAATATCGCGCCCAAGTGTTACGAGCCTACGGCCACGCGGCGCGACTTCTTGCGACGCGGCCTTATTCTCCACCGCCGACGGAATCGTCCGGTGCCGCAACAAGCGACGCTTTTCCGTTCCCCTCCTCCCGCGCGAGATCGCATCCGTTTTTCTCGCGGCACGTCGCAAATTTGAAATCCACGGTGATCGATCAACGGTGAGAGCAATCGGTGATTTTCGCCCCCTCCTCTACTCCCCTCCGTGAGAATCCTCATTTGAAAAAACATATCGCGTTACATGGTGGTTTCTACTTTCTACCTTGTATACATAACATAATTTTTATTTTTATTCTCAGTCGAGTGTCGGGATTTCGATTGATTTTCGAGAAACAGGAGATTGGAGAGGGTGAAAGGATCGAGGGTGACACGTATTGGAGAACGCTGAAGATGCAATCGGCAGGCGCGTCGCGTACGCCGGGTTCTCCAACGCGTTCCTCTTGCCACGAGCGCGATCGCGAGCATGAGAGAGAACGAGAGCAGGAACGAGATCGCGAACGTGAACGCGGCGTAAGGCAGAGCCGGATGAGTCCTGTAGAAGATCGAGAGGATCGCGAAGAGCGGAGTACGATCGCGAGGCAGAATCTTGGACCTCCTGCTGCAATCTCGGGAAGTCAAGGATTGCCGTTATCTTTATCGCTGGAGGATCGAGACCTCTGGACCAGATTTCAGTGCATCACGAATGAGATGATTGTCACGAAAAATGGAAGGTACATGTGTACATTAATTGAAAGAAAGATTAGGAAAAGGTGATTTGATTAGGAAATATTTGATCTTGTAAGAAAAATTAATTAGCCATTAAATTCTTCTATTTGTTATTATTATTCATACATCGCATTATCAGGGAATATTCAGTATGAGAACATCGCAAAAGAATTTATGACTTTCAGGCACTTCAAAACGGAAAGTAATATTGCGATTTTTCTAATGATAGCATAGACATTCGATATCTGAAGTTCTTGTTTACTAAGAACAAAAATATCACGAATCTCAAATATCACTAAAATCTCAAGCGAAAGTAGCATTTTATAATACCTTTTTTTATCTATCTTGTAGCAAGGAAATGTCACTGTGAGTTAAAATGACAAAAAATATCGCAAGTAGCTTAAATAGCTACTTTTTGTTATTTTTATCATACATTTTTATCTTAAAATGATAATAATATAAATATAATGATAATAAAAGAATATTTTATTATAATTAATAATTTTCATTAAAATATAAGATAATTTTCCGATGAAAGTTTTCCATTTATATATTTTTTTATAGTAAATTGATATGTTATTAGATTTATACGATATATAAAATATCAAAGTCATAAAAAATAAATAACATCCTAATTTAAAGTACTCGGTTTTTTTTTCCTTTTTTTTATAAGATAATGCACCTTTTGATTGGAGCTGAGAACTTGACAATTACAATATTGATATGAAAGTCAATGAGAATATCAGGCTGGAATGCGTTTGATAGTCGACCGGGAATTTTTTTTCAGCAAGAACACATTATGTTGAAACACGCACATTATTATTCGTAAGAAAATAATCAATATTAAACAAACCGTACATTTGGGATATCAAAGGCGAATGATGAAAACTCGATCTGTGGAAAGACGGAGTTCCTCGAGATTATTGTGGGAAGATCCAGCCGTAGGCAATAAAACTTTACGATGCGTACAATTCTCTTGTAAAACGTTCTCCTGTCGAGCTGATGCCTGCGAGCAAACACTTTACCTGCGCATCCATAGTCGACAAACCGTAATCGTTTTTATTAATACACGACTCGTAAATGTATAGCCGCGCCGAAGAGAGACACACCGTCTAAATCCGTGGCGGTTATCTTTTGATCCGACACCGTGAATCCCGCCGCCGACATCGATCTCTCTCGCGCGTATCCCGCAGAATCCGGGATTTTACGATCGTTGTCTTGCGCCTTCCTGACATGTCACTTTCGTCTGCAGGAGGATGTTTCCCGTGGTGAAGGTCGTTGCACGTGGTTTGGAACCAGCGGCCATGTATACCCTGCTACTGGAATTTGTACAAGTCGATCCACATAGGTAAGATGCAAAATTGTATACGTATTGTACATGTAGTTGACAAAAAAGCAGCAATGAGCTTTCACGCTTTATTAACATTAAAAACTATTTTGCTTTCTATAGTACGCATAATATGTGTACTCTTTATAGTTCTCTTTTGCTATTTTTAAAAAAGGCATAACGAATTTGCGATATAATTTATTATAAATGGATATAATGAATTGTATTCGTATAGATATCTTTATTCATATTTCGTATGGGTATCTTTACTCATATTTATTTTATAGCAATAGTTCAATGGTGTTCAATAGTGTAATCTACAAAATTATTTATAACTTTTTTATCCAATAATTTTCCAATAGAAGAGAAAGAGAGAGAAAGCGAGATTTCAATATTTTATCTAATAACTATTCTATCTAATAGTCTGTATTACTGTAAAAGAAATATTTAAAGATGATAAGCATGTAAGTCAAGTCAATTTTTTATTCACAAACTTTCTTTTGCATTTTTTGAAGGCAAATTTTCACATATTGTAATTTTATTTTGTCACGTTTCTCAATTCTTTTAAAAAATAATATTAAAATAATGAAACAAGAGAAAATTTACTTATATATGAAATATAATATTTATATTAATTTTGTATCATGATAATTATGTCATATTCTATCTTTTCCCAATCATCATATCATTCGTGATTGGAAGAAATGATACATACACATAGATCAAATTAAATTTTGTAATTATATAATATATAAAGAATTTGTTTAAATATTAAGTATAAGTATTGCAAATATATAACAAAAGATTTTTATTATATTTACCAGTTCTAAATTTTAGATTTTTGATTTTTTTCCTGGCATTTATTAAACTAAGGGGTTAAACTGTTTTTTAATTAATGACAAGCGAAAATTGTACAAATTATAAAATTGTTCTAAGTAAAATAGAAAGCAAAGCATCAAAATATTGCATAGATAGTAAATGGATAAGCCTGTTACCGATTTGCGTTGATTTATTTCTCGAACAGAAGATAGGAGGAACAGGGGGGCGCGAAGGACACTAACAGGTCGTAATTACCGTACCCCTTTCGTTGAAGCATCACGTAACGTCGCTAAAGTTGATTCTAAACTTGTTAGTATGTTATTTTTAACTCGTCGGCGATTCGTCATCCGTGTTGAACGAACCGAGAGGCATTTGTGAGCTTCATAATAGCTTTCGCAAAACAATCTCGAAAGACTTTCGAAGAAGAATATAAAGGACAATTTCTTGATTTCTTGATTTTATGAATATTGCAAATTCTTCTCACTGAGTCGGTTTACGCGATTTTTCCCGTTCTTTTTTTTACAAAAAAAAATGCAAGTAATTAAAATTACTTTTTATTAAGGGAGAATTGAGTATGGTACACACACACACACACACACACACACACACACACATGTCATATACACATACACATGTTCCTTTTTATATATATTATGTAAATTACTTGTGTTAACAATAATATAAAGTTAATTCTTTAATCAAATTAATATCAGGTGGAAATACGTCAATGGTGAATGGGTACCAGGAGGGAAAGCAGAAGTAGCCCCGCCTAATCCGATTTACATACATCCAGAAAGTCCAAATTTTGGAGCCCATTGGATGAAAGAAGCAGTATCATTTGCTAAGGTTAAACTAACAAATAAGTCAAATGGTAATGGACAAATCATGCTAAACTCGTTACACAAGTACGAGCCACGTGTTCATTTAGTCCGAGTGGGTGCCGAAGAACAGAGAACAGTACGTTTCCTTTTTGTAAAACAATTACTAAGAATATTAAAATCGGCGAAGTTACTTTGAACACAATTTTCAATTGTTTAACATTAATAATGATTACGCACTAATAACTATAGTCGGTTCTTACGGACTTTCTTCTACCTTTTTACTTTATTGTCTCGGAGCTTTATTTTTTAATTTATTTAATTTAATTTATAAATATTCTACTAATGTAGGTTCTCACCTATCGTTTTCCCGAAACGCAATTCATCGCGGTGACAGCCTATCAGAATGAAGAAGTTACAAGTCTAAAAATTAAATATAATCCTTTTGCGAAGGCGTTTCTCGATGCCAAAGAGAGACCTGCCGATTCACAAACTTATCCACAATGTGAGTAGTAAACAAACGTAAACAAATGGACAGAAACAATATTGAATATGAAATAAATTGAAAATTGAAGATGAGATTCCGTCAAACACATGTTTCTAATACGTGTTTTGCAACATTGCAGATGCAGGTGCATTGTTTCTTCCACAGCCTACAATGGGATATGAATACAATACTGCATCGGCAATAGCCGCCGCACAAAATCAGGTATCGGCTTGTGTTAGCAATCATTTCTCTAATTCGTGCACTGTTACCACATCTGGACACAGAAGTAATTGCAGAGCAGCACCTTACACATTGAGACATAAGTATGTCCAAGACGGTACGTAAAATCTTTTACCGTTTTCTTTCCCCATTAAATCTCCGGACTCTCAATTCAAATCTTAAGATTATAGTTAATCGACAATTTCTATCCTATTCAATAACTAATTAAATTTTTCGAATTATATCTATTTTTTTTTTTTTAATCTTTATCGATGCTCAAAAGAGCGTGATCAATATTTCTGAAAATTTATCTCTTTTTTTTTCTATTTTAAAAATGAAAAAACAAACTCGTATATTTTCTGTGTGTATAGAACAACACGCGGATGCGTATGCGCCAATGCCGCTTTTGCACTCGACGGCTTACGTGACAGCTCCGGCTTGGTCACCGCGAAGTCCGGAATCGCTGCAGAATCTCAATTCCGCGTGCTTGCCATCGGCTGCGTCGCAAGAATGGCCGACGTCGCCGTCGCCGTCGCCAACATCATCTACGCACACGGTCCTCGGCAGAGCGGTAGTTGGTACCGTGTCTACTACGACTACCGTAACGGGCTGTACTCTGTACGTGCCGTCAAATTTACCGTCTCAGGAACAGCATGGCGCACACTGCACCGATTCCTGGATACACTCCAGTACGCTGGAGCAACAACAGCAACAGCAACAGCAGCACCAGCAGCAACAGCAATCCTACTTGAACTTGAACCTTCATTTGCATCACCAGATGTCCCCATATGGTTCCGTGTCGCACACGGGATTACATCACGCCAGTTTACATCCGCAGTGTGGGGAATCCGTTCCTTCCGCAGACGCGAACGAGTACATTCACGAGTACCATCACGCCTCGCCAGTGCAATCGACTACTCCAGATCAGCATCGTCAGCAACAGCATCACCCCCAAGCGCAGATGTTACACTTGCAGACATTGCCGCAAACGGAAACATCTTCACCCGTCAGCGTAGACTATGACAGTCCGTCTAAAGAACATCCCCATATACAGATGGGTTATCCCGAACAAACCACAGATGCTTTGAACGAGGTGCAGCCAGATGATGAAAGACGATATTTGACCACGGTTGTCGACCGTCACCCTCATCATCATCCACATCATCATCATAACCATCATCGACAGGACACGGAAATCACTGGCGAGCAACCGAACGCTTGGACGCCACTGACACCACCGCCGGCGCCGCAGACTACCGCCATTTGACTCGGATTTGTATACTGGAAATTATGCACAAATATTACACATACGCGAAAATGCACGTCCGGGCTCATTATTGTGTATAAGATTATTAATACAAATACGTCGTAGCAATATCTATTTGATGATGCGATCAAATCAATACTAAATATATTAAATACGGTGATTAATCAAGAAAACTTCAATTGTATATGATAAATATTAAAATAATTCCAATTTTGTCAGTCCGTCCTGAATAGTATAGTATTTAGATTATTTTTAATCAGTCGTGAATAAAGCATAATTAGAGAGACAAGATACTATAGATCAATAAGTTATATCAAGTGTATGTCATAGAAAAATAAAATCAAAACAAAATATACTTTTAAATGACTTGTTTCATCCGTATTACAAACAAGATTTTATTACTTTACATATAATATACATGTAAATTGAAGCAAATATATTTTTCAAATATGATAAAATTTCATAAACAATATTTATTGAATTATTTTTCAGATTGTTTGATTAAACTGAATTCGACATTTTATTAGTAAAAATATATTAGTAACAAAAAATTAAAGAAATTATTATACCTTTATAATACCTTTTCAATTTTTAATGTTATATAACTTTCAAATAAATTTTCAATCTTAAAGTAATAGAAATTTTTAATAAATAAAAATTATATTAAAATATATTTCACTTATAAAATTAACTGAAAAATGTACAATAATCTTATTATCCATTTGTATACAACTCACATAGTCTATTCTATAACTCTAAATCCCAATATTGTTATCATATTATGGTTTGTGCGCAGCTTTTCTACCATATATTATATCTACGTAATGATAATGATATTATTATTAAGAGAATATTAGAAAAGCGAATTCCAGCAAAAATATTCACAGATATGCACATTTAAACATACATACATACATGAACAAATTTTCATATATACTTTTTGTATCATATTATTGTTTACGCTTAATTTTAGAAATGCAATGTTGTTCCTTCATGTAATCTATTAATCTAGCGATACTAGTCTTGTGAGTATAGTAGACTGTAAAGTTTGTATATAAAACAAATAGACACGAGTTGATAACTCTAGGCTTCATATGGAAGTAGCAAATAAGAAAGATCTAAATTAAAAAAAATTTTCTCTTTCTTGACAAAGTTCTGATTGAGCAGACATGTATTAATGCATAAAATTCAATTTATAGGATTTCTCTAGGATTTCTCTATCTATATTATCTAATTATAATCTAATTTATTACCAAATAAATATATTTAATTATAGAAAAGATTTTCTCTATCTGTAAAAATAATTTATAACAACTATTCTTCTTTATAAAAGTCGTTACAAAAAATACTGCATTCTGTCGGTAATATACTTATAAATAAGATCTCAAGAAAGAATTTGCGAAAAGCTTTTAATCTCATATTTTGTTATTTAAATTAATTAAGTAATAATTTTTTTACATCTCTTTAATAAAAAATTATTTATGCTTCGTTATTTTTTGTAAAAAAGTTAATTTTTAAATTCGTAAAAAAAATACAATATTAAAAATGTAACTGATGAGACATCTTATTGATAGCATTATTATATTCTTCTTATTGTTAACAGGATAATAATATCAAGGAATATAAATATAAGATATATGTTATATCTTTGTAAGGGAAAATAAAAGATAAAAATATATATAACAATATATATATATATATATATATATATATATATATAGTGTATGTTATTACAATTATTATTACAATTCATTAATCAAAGATTAATATTCTTGATTAATATTCTCTTGTGAATATAAACCTGTGTAGAATAGTAGACGAGTACGCCATCTCTATATCTATTATACAATTCAGCACATAAATTTAAGTTATTCACACATGAGCATTTAATTAAAGATATATCATTAATATATTATATATCAACAGCATTCTCATTTCTTTTATATAAATAATTATTACATTTTTCCCTTAATTTTATAAGCAATAAAAATATAGAGTAAAATATTTTGCATGCGAACGAATTAAATAAGCTAAAAAAGTCATTATTTAAATGCTCTTTTTCTTTATTTTATACGGTATTTATTATTTCATATACATATAATATATTAAAAATATAGGCATAATCAATAAAATACATTAAAATATATTATCGCATACATGAATAATACGAGCGTTCAACTGATTATTTTTATGTGATTAATATTATAATCATAATTGCATTGTGTTGCGACCAGCAGTAATTGCAATAGTCAAAAATATATTCGATTTTTAGATTTTTAAGGACTCCCACGAATAGATTCGTGTTAAAAGCCTAGAGATGGCGTATCACCTACACTTTGTTCTACACTGATCTACATTAAAAAAAAACGATTATAAGGCACGATGCACGATCGATCACTTGCGGGGATAGTAACGAAAAAGGTACGCTTATGCATTAACAATACCAATTATATAAACATTTTTTATTAATAAAAAAGTTATTGTATAATTTATTAGGATAAAAAATTAATATTGAGCGCCATTTTCTGATCATAATGTAAACATTCTATTTAATGTTTAATGATTAGCAATTATTTAATATTGCATTCTAAAAATCAGATTGGCATTCTTGATTAAGGGGGAAGCCTCATGTAACGCGCAGGAATTAGGTGATTCTTTCGAATCGTTTTTTAAGGAACCTACATGACAAATTCTTTTAAAATTTTCAGGGTATGTTATTGTAATATTAAATTACTAAAAAAATATTTTTTGATAAAAAAATAATATATATTTTATGAACAATAGTAAGTCAATTTGATGTATCATTTTTGTCGGCGTGCAATGTAGCTTTACTTGTATTGATTTGAAACAAAAAAATCAAATGGATTTCTTTTTGGAGGTTTACATTATTAACTGAACCCTTTTAAAGGGAATTATGCAAAATTGTAAAAGTGGCGAAATAGAAGACAAAAATATTGATTTCCATATGTTAATTATGCAACAAGAATTATTTATATAAACAATACAATTGCAAATACAGGTTTAAGTTATGTGGAAAGTATTTATCTAAATGTATGCACAGCGAGAACTCAATCGAATGAATAGTTTTTGAGTTATCTTGCACACCAATTTTGAAAATGACCTGGCAAAATAAAGTGAAAGCGAAGCGTAAAAGAGCGTAAGCGTCAAATTAAGAGAAGAATGACAGAAGCATAAACGAAACTTCTACAAAGCGTAAATTGAAACAATATTGAAATATAAGAGAGGCGTTTATCTTTTAAAACGCTTCTTTTCGATGTTCCAATCTACGTTTTCTAGAAGTTTCATTTATGCCTCTGTTAGTCTTTCTCTTTACGTTCAACTTATGCTTCAATTTTTATTTTGCGAAATAAAATATTCAAAATATATAAAATTTTCAAAAATAGAAATCACAAATAACGTGTAAGGAGTTTATATCACAAATAATGAGTTTTTCTGTGGATTTATACTTTAGATACATCCACTGTGAATCGTTAATTGCGAATAATAATAATTTTGAGTTTCAACGAAATTAAAACAATGCAACCAATCTAATATGTAATACGGCGTATAACAATAAATTTTTTAATAAATTTGTACGTCATGTATACTGACAGAAATTCCAGTTTAGTAGGGATCTGAAGTCGTACGATGAAGTAATTCGGATTTTTCATTATGCAGCGAGAAGAACCGCAATTATCCGCGATTCCCTTTTCGTAACATTTATCAAGCGCGCTACGAGAAACGGTTGATTTCCCAGGTGTATCTGCAACATCTACAGCTATATATGCAAACTCAACTACTTTTGCAATGTGTTTATATAAACGTTGCTTAAATGTTTACAGTTACCTACTTGATCTATCGTACGCTTACTCTCATTGTTAGTATACAATAATATAAACTGTTTTTGCAACAATTTACAGATAGGATTTACCGTTAAATACTATTGAAAATAAAGTGATCATATTTTTTTTTTGTACTCCTAGTTAAACAGATAGAGTTTAAAAAAAGGATTAATTTTTATAGTATTAGATATAAATTTATGATCGTGTTTTATTAATTTTTGAGAACCGAGAGAGAGAGAGAGAGAGAGAGAGAGAGAGAGAGAGAGAGAGAGAGAGAGAGAGAGAGTAGTAGTA